CCTGATTTACAGCATCCGCAGTTCTTTTGGTTTTTATATTCGAAGTGTGATCTCGCCAAGGCTCTATACGACTGCAGCAAGATATCCTTGCTACTGAAAGACATCTCTGCTCTCCTTAAAGAATTTCCAGTCTGTGAAGTCATTATACATTTCTTTCAGGGATAGTTTCCAGCCTTGGTGATTGGAGAGATATTTAGACCAAAGTTTTTTTTCATAGAGTTATCGTATGGTACAGAAGAGGCCCTTTGGCCTATTGGCTCTACATCAACAGAAAACTGCTCTAGATTTGCACCCACTTTCTGACTCTTGGCCTATAGCCTTGAATTTTGTGATATTTCAAGAGCTCATTCAAGAATTTTTGAGAAATTTTTGAGATCTCAACTACTTTCCCAATGCATTCCAGACCCCTATCCCTCTCTGCGTGAAAGTTTCTTAAGCTATCAGTCACTAAGGAGTGTTGATAGGTGATAGCTGTTCTGTGATTAAATAATTAAGATGTTCTTCCCTTTATGCCTCTCTGTCTTGCAGCTCCAACTTGTTTGACTTTGGATCCTAACACAGCACATTCCTGGCTCATCCTGTCTGATGACCTGACCAGCGTAAGATACGGAGATAAGGGGCAGTCTCTCCCTGAGACACCCGAGAGGTTTTACCCCTGTGTGTGCGTGCTGGCGTCGGAGGGATTCACCTCTGGCAAACACTACTGGGAGGTCGAGGTGGGAAACAGTGCTGAGTGGGATCTCGGAGTGGTGACGGAATCCATCAACAGGAAAGGAGACATCACAGCCATGCCAGAGGCTGGTTACTGGATCGTGTGGCTGAGGAGGAGTGAGTATAAAGCTGGCACGTTGCCACGTACCCTCCTGACCGTGGGCATCAAGCCCCGGAAGATCGGGGTCTACCTGGACTACGAGGAGGGGCAGGTGTCATTTTACAATGCTGACAACATGTTGCACCTCCACACCTTCATCGATATCTTCACGGAGAAACTTTACCCTTTCTTCAGTCCTTGCTTGAGTGGTCATGGGGAGAACACAGAACCACTCAAAATCTGCTCCATGAAAGGTCATTGTCTGTGAAATTTCCTTGCAATTCTTTTCTTTCTATAAATAGACGGTCACTGTTTCTAATACTGGCTTTTTTTGTCTTTCTTAATTTCAGATTTATTTCATTAACTGAATTTAAATTTCTCCCAACTGCTTGTGGTGAGATTAGAACAGATCTCTCTGGGTTATTGGTCCGGAACCTCTTAGTTACTAATCCAGTATCCGAACCGCTACCATGCCCTTTGCTGAACCGGATGTGAATCCCAGAACAAGACTTTGAAGAATATGTTTACCTTCCTTGCTGATTTCTGGCTCAGTGTCCTTTCTCTTTTTTGCCTGTCACTGGGGACTTGTTAAAATCAAGCTTTGAGAAGCCCTTGGAAGTTAAAAGCTTGAAGAAACAACTATACACAGGGCAATATTGCTGTGCTGAACACAATGGACAGAGTCTGACTACACACAGGGCTGTATTACTGTGCTGAAAATAACGTCAGAAATAACACAACACCAGGTTATAGACCAACAGGTTTATTTGAAAGCACAAGCTTTCGGAGCCTCAGTCCTTCTTCAGGTGTTAGAGAGAGAGGTAGTATCAGACACAAAATTTATAAGTAAAAGATTACCTTTGACAACGAGTTCTTCATCCAGACACACGGAACAGCCATTGGGACCGATTTGCTCCCCAAAATGTCAACATTTTCATGCACAGGTTTGAACAAGACTTTGCTGTACAGAACCTCTGACCAACGCTATACACCAGATACATTGACATTGGCATTTTTTTCCTTTGGATTCATGGCGAGGAATCACTGAAACAACTACATAGCAATATCAGACTTACCATGGACTACTATTTAGAATCAGTCTCATTCTTGGACACACGCATCTCCATCAAGGATAGCCACCTCAGTACATCACTCTACCGCAAGCCTACGGATAACCTCATGATGCTGTATTTCTCTAGCTTCCACCTGAAACATATTAAAACAGCCATCCCCTACAGAAAAGCCCTACGCATACACAGAATCTGTTCGTATGAGGAGGAATGAGACCGATACCTGAAGGTGTTGAAAGATGCCCTGAAAGGAACAGGATATGATGCTTAACTCATCGATCACCAGTTCCAACGTGCCACTGCGAGAAATCATAATGACCTCCTCAGAAGACAAACACGGGATACGTCCGATAGGGTACCCGTCGTCATCCAGTGCTTCGTGGGAGCGGAGAGACTACGCCATGTTCTTCACAGCCTTTAACAAATTATCAATGACAATGAGCACCTCGCCAAGATCTTCCCCAAACCTCCACTTTGCACCTTCAAACAGCCACCAAACCTTAAACAGACCATTGTTCACCATCCAGCAAACTACCTGGCCTTCAAGACAACATTGATCACAGCACTATACAACCCTGCTTTGGTAACCTCTGCAAGACATGTCAGATCTTCGACATAGACACTACTATCATATGTGGGAACACCAGCCACCCAGTGCATGGCAGTTACTCATGTGACTTGGCCAACGTTGTCTGTCTCATAGATTGCAGGCAAGGATGGCCCGAGGCATGGTACATTGGCAAAATTGTGCAGACGCCACGAAACAGATGAATGGACACCGTGCAACAATCGCCAGACAAGAATGTTTCCTCCCAGTGAGAGAACATTTCAGCAATCAAGGACATTTGGTCTCGGATCTTTGGGTAAACATCCTCTAAGGCAACCTTCAGGATACACAATAACACAGAGTCGCTGAGCAGAGGCTGATAGCCAAGTTCCGTACCCATGAGGACGGCCTCAACCAGGATCATGGATTCATGTCACAGTACAGGTGACCCCACCACACTATACACTCTCACACAGATCCTCTCTCATACACACACTCTCTCTGTCTCTCTCTATACTCCCCCAACACACAGACACTCACACACATATACACTCTCTCTCCCCCCCACCTCTCATCTCTCTCTCTCTCTCTCACACACACACACGCACACACACACACACACACGAATCTATGGGGTGAATTTGTATTTGCAGATACATTTTATTTTGTTCAAAAAGCACACAATTTATAGATAGTCAGTCAATATGGTGTTTTATAAATTCCTGCTTTAGAAATTAAACCAGTCTGACTCCAAACTAAAACACAGACAGATTCTAAACAAGGTCTCACACTGAGTATACATTGTCTGACCTAAAATGTCACCTCTTCTTTACACTGATTAAACCTTTAGTCCTCTCAGGACAGTGATTTGAAAGGAATTCACAGATTTACATATTAATAATAATCATTTAAAGCCTTCTAATTGATTAAAGAGTTAAGAGCATCTTAGGTTTGTTTAGTACATCCCCATCAATGGTGTGAACCTTTGATCTTTTACTTATAAATTCTGTGAGTGATACTAACTCTCTCACTGACACCTGAAGAAGGACAGAGGCTCCGAAAGTTTGTGTTTTCAAATCAACCTGTTGGACTATAACCTGGTGTTGTGTGATTTCTGACTTTGTCCACCCCAGTCCTACACAGGCACCTCCACATCCTGAAAACAATGGACAGAGTCTGACTGTACATGGCCATATCACTGTGCTGAACACAATGGACAGAGTCTGACTGTACATGGCCATATCACTGTGCTGAACACAATGGACAGAGTCTGACTGTACATGGCCATATTACTGTGCTGAACACAATGGACAGAATCTGACTGTACATGGCCATATTACTGTGCTGAACACAATGGACAGAG